ATTCATCCAGTAACTTCTCTTCTCCTCAAATAACCTCTTTTTGTTTACAAAAAGCTGTGAAATCTTTTTTTCATAGGTGTCCCTTGCAAGCCTTCTGTGGTTCAAGTTAGCAAGACAAGATCATTTTTTTTTCTCACTTTATATTTAACCCTGCTCTTATTTGGAACTCATTGTTCCAAAACAAGACGTATTAGCTCATTGAATTTCCTCTGAGGCAGCACAAGTTTCTTCACGGCTTCATCTGGATGACTTGGTGCTTAAATACACTGTTAGCAGTGCTGTCTTATATCTATCTAGGGCTGTTGAGAAAAATAGTCTGCACCTTTGGATCTGGACATTCTCAATGTGCTGATGAGCTTCTTTTTTTAGGTATCTCTTAAGATGCCTTATTCTTAAATTAGTGTCTGGAAGCTGTGCCTTGAAAGATGAAGTTAAAGAATCAGAAGGGAAGATAAGAGAACAAAGTGGCCATGCTGCTTGGTAATCCCAGTGTTCTGGAAAGATTTGTGCTTTGTGTGATTATGAGTTGGTGTTTTCCTTCTGGAATCCAGGGTGCTCTGGGATTATTCTCTGCTCATGCTATTGGACATGATTAAAGTTGCCTCCTGTCAATTCTTAAGGCCTCTTATATTTCTTACTCCTTTGGGACGTGGTGGCGCTGCGGGCTAAACCGCAGAAGCCTGTGCTGCAGGGTCAGAAGACCAAGCAGTCGTAAGATCGAATCCACGCAACGGAGTGAGCTCCCGTCGCTTGTCCCAGCTCCCGCCACCCTAGCGGTTCGAAAGCATGCGAATACAAGTAGATAAATAGGGACCACCTCGGTGGGAAGGTAACAGCATTCCGTGTCTAGTTGCACTGGCCATGTGACCACGGAAGATTGTCTTCGGACAAACGCTGGCTCTATGGCTTGGAAACGGGGATGAGCACCGCCCCCTAGAGTCGAACACGACTGGACAAAAATTGTCAAGACTTAGCATAATTAAATTGTCAAGGGGAACCTTTACCTTTACCTTTTACCTTTGGTAAACAGTTATGATAGATGCAGTTTAGGTGGTTTGCCCATAGTCGTGCAGGAAATGGCATGTAGTGCAGAGTTATGCTTCTGTTAACTGTTAGGCTTGATTGTGGTCTTTCTGTTAAGGACAATTCAGAAACTACTCATATTGCAAAGTGCTGCTTGAGTACCTCATGTTGAATATTTGAAATTAGAAGCACCTTCACAGTTACTTCTACAGTGATTTCACTAGCTGGCACTTCATGGGCAAAATTGAATATATTGGTATTTGGCTTTTAAAGTTATACCTTGGGGCTCAAATTTTAAAAAGTTTTTCTTTCTTAGTAATCCTCCATCTTAGAACGGTGATAGATAACGAGAAGGGAGGTGACCCTTGACTTAACCTTGAATATAGTCCCAGGACTTGGTGTAAGATGCACGGTTGTTTAAATACTTTGGGAACAGGGAGAACAATAGTTGTATTCAGTCACTATCTCTGAGTCTGCAGTGCTAAATGGGTGGTGGAAGTGTCAAACACGCACCTGCATAGTATGCACTACATTTCCACACCCCTGATGAAAGTCAGTAAACATAAAAGACAAACTGGAGCAAGTTCAGAGGACAAGGATGATCAAGGGACTGGAAATCAAGTTCTGCAAGGATGATCAAGGGACTGGAAACCAAGTTCTGTGGGGAAAGACTAAAAAAACTGGGCATGTTTAGCCTTGAGAAAAGAGGACTGATGGGAAATATAACACCTTTCAAATACTAGAAAAAATGTCACACAGAGGAGAGACCGGAGCTGTTCTCAGTCATCCCAGAGTGTAGAACACGTAATAATGGGCTCAGGTTACAGGAAGCCAAATTTCAGTTGAACATCAGGAAAAAGGTGTAGCTGTTAGAACAGTATGATAAAAGAACCAATTATCTCTAGAGATTGTGAGCCCTTCAACACTGGAGACATTCAAGAAAAAGTTAGACAACTGTCTGTCAGATATACTGTGATTCCTACCTTGAGCAGGGGTTTGGATTTGATAGCCTCATTGGCTCCTTCCAACTCAGTTATTCTATAATTCTATAATCTATGAAAGAGCATATATGTGCAACCCCACACGTACTATGGATTCAATCATAACTAGCTTCAGAGATAAAAACTCAATACAGTGGTGCCCCGTATAGCGAGGTTAATCCGTTCCGGATTAACCTTCGCTATGCGAAAACATCGCTGTACGGGGCAGGAAAAGCCTATTGGAACGCATTAAACTTAGTTTAATGCATTCCAATAGGCGCCAAAACTTACCCCTCCAGCGATGTTTTTGCGGTCCGGCGGCCATTTTGGAGCCGCCGATCAGCTCCAAAATGGCCGCCGGACGCCCCGATCGTCGCAAAGCGAGTGCGGCGATTGGGGCAGCTCCGTATAGCGATCCCCAAAAAGGGATCTCTATACGGATTCTTTGTTGTACGGTGCGCTCGTTAAGCGAGACACCACTGTAGATCTAGACTTAGCATAATTAAATCCAATATGTGTATAAGTGGAAAACATGTGAGAAAGAGCCTTGAATTGGAATTCAGAAGAGCAAAACAAAGATTCTGTTGTAAAAAAACCACAGACACACACACCCCTGCACATATAAGAGCAATTGTTTAAGCATTTTTCTGATTTGCTCACTGGCCATCCTGCAACTCTGAAACCAAGTGCAAAACAGACAGGCAGCAAAATTATTTAGAACAGAGGATTGCAGCCTAAATGTCTCGAAGTTGACAGCAGTATTTAAGATAAAGCTGATAAAGTTGAAGGTCAGATTTCTCCAAAATGCTTGCCGGCTGTTTAGAAATACAGCAGAAGCACCTCAGGAAAGTGCACCACCAGATTATGAATTTCGTTTGGGTGCTTCTTAATGTGCTAGGACTATGAAAAATGGTGGGTGTAATTTGAAGCCAATTAGTAAAAAAAATCTGAAAACAAAAAAGTTTCTATTTATCCTCAGAAATGAACCAATAAATTCTTAAAGTACTACCTGGCTGCCCAGAAGATTGAAATTGGTTACATGTTGAATCACTCATGAGTATTTGAAGTGCATGAAATGAGGAGTAATGGTATTTTTCTTGTGAGGGAGGAGATTTTTACATGTAGCAAGCAAAACTTAAGCTCATAACGTAAAGTACCATATTTTTCCGTGTATAAGACTATACTTTTGTCCAAAATCTTTAGGCTATAAATTGAGGGTCATCTTATACACAGAAGTAAGCTGAGGAGAGTACAAAAACAAGTGGAGGGGAAAGCAGGGGTCCAGTTGTTTCTGCAGGGTTCTGATCCCTGCTTTCCCCTCCACTTGCTAAGCCTTCGCAAAAGGAAAGCAGGGATCAAAGTACTGCAGGATCACTTTGATTCCTGCTTTCCCTTCTGTTTGCTAAGTCCCATGGGGCTTAACAAAAGGTTGGGGAAAGAATCAAAGCTATCCCATGGCTGTATAATGGGGAAAGGGATCAAAATGATTGTGCAGTTGTGGAATTGCTTTCATCCCTTTCCCCCTACACTTGCTAAGCCCCACTTAGATTTCTTAATTTTGGCTTAGAAAAGAGGGTGTCTTATACATGGGGGCATCTTATACACAGGAAAATATGGTATACCCTGTAACAAGCCAATATTCCAGTAGAAGAAGCAATTCAAACTTAGGGTAGAATGTTGAGCAGTGAATTCCATTAATTTATTTTGCTATTTACTGTTGCTTCTTGAATAAAACCACATATTAATTGGTTGCTGTAGCTGTAGCTGTAGAGGCATATTGATGTATAATTAGAATATTGACTTCAAGGTAGTTTAAGAGATCAGATGGTTACTAAGCATAAAACTGGAGTAAAAGTCATACAGATGGAGTTGTGGATGATAATTTGGTGATCTGGCAGTCCGTGGCATCATACTGAGTTGTAACAGAAGCATTATTGTATTCTATGAAGGCAAATGCATTTTGTTTTACAGTTCTTCCTTTAGATAGAAGAGTGGCCTATTCATAAGATCCTTGTGACCTGAGTTTTAACTACTGTAGTTTCATTGAAAATCTTGTTATGTATAAAAGAGAAGTTTTTTTCTAGACAAACCCATATTTAATATTAACTTTTAAATCTGTCTTACATCATTACCAGATAGGGACGGATTTTGTGATAAGAAATCTTTCTTGTGTAGAGCTGACTACAGAATTTGTAGCATACTTGACATTTCAATGATAAGTGCTTAGCTTATAGTTCTAATACTGTACTTACTATTCTACTGTTCCTATTGCTTATTTTTCCTGAGCGTTTTAATGGTGTATGCCATTGTTTCCCAGCCTTGGTAACGCAAGTGTTCTTGGTCTGCAGCTCCCAGAAGCTTTCACGATTAGCTGTGCTGATCAGGGTTTTGGGGAGTTATAGTCCAAGAACACCTGGATTACTCAAAGTTGGGAACCACTGGTGTAGGTGATATTATGATAATGATAATTTTCATAAATGTTGTTTTAAGAATTCTGTGTATAATTGTCTAAGCAAAGTAATAGCCTTATGCCCTCAATTCTTTAGAAAATATATTTTGTAGTCAAGGGTTTTTTTTTTCCTTTTCCTTTTGTAAAATCTAACATCTTAAATAGACACTTACAAGAGATAACTGATTTCTAACATTTCAGTCTTAACAAAGCATGGCTGGTTATATTCAGACTCACTGGAGTTCTGTCCTCCTTTAATTCTGACACATACTGAGAGTTTCAACATGCTAACAGCTTTCTCCCCCTTCACGGATTGCTGCCTTGTCGTGGCGAATCTCGCAAATTCTTGTGGAGAACTTGGTTTTCTCGGATTTCCATCTTCCATTGATTAATGCCTTCTAGAAACTAGGGAAATAGCAATGGCCTTTAGGATTAATCTGGAGGTGACCAATATATTACTAATAAGATATTTCTCCCAAAATTTCCGGTAGGAAAATTATATGGATGAAAAACTGAATGTGTTTACTTTTTTCATGTGTCTGTTACAGGGAAAAGTGCAGTTTTGAAGTGTTTGCTAGATATTCACAAAATTTTTCGGGAAAATGATCCTGCATATATTCTTAATGACCTTTACATTACGGATTACTGCGTTTGGATTCAAAAAGTCAAGTAAGTCTTAAAATCTGCACTTCTCTTGGTGAAAGAATTTTCATTTGGTTTACAATGTGACACTATGGCCTCGCTGTCTGAAATTTTGTTGTGCAGTTAAGGAGTAACTTCTGGTGGTGAGTTGCACAATACATACTGACTGGAGATTTTTTAACTTACAGCAATCCACCATTAAAAGTTACGTCTTTTGCATAGGTGTGTGAAAAGGATTTCAGCCACCAAAATAAACATGTCCATCATAAATAGAAACCATATCAATTTCTTCCTCCTGTGCTTGCCAATATTCTAGAAAGACAAAAGAAGAAATTGTTGAATTATATGTAAATATTTTTTCTGGTATGCTATAATACAGTGGTGCCTCGCTAGATGATGTTAATTTGTTCCAGCGAAATCGCTGTAGAGTGAAAACATCGTCAAACAAAATTAAAAAACCCATTGAAACGCATTAAAACCTGGTTAATGCGTTCCAGTGGGCTGAATACCTGCTCGTCAACCGAAGATCCTCCATATGGCGGCCATTTTCAGTGCCTGTATAGCGAATCCATCCTCGGAACAGCGGGGGGCCATTTTGAAAGCCGGGGGCCATTTTGAAACCCGAGTATCAGTTGTTTGCTGATCATTGTAAAGCGAAAAATCGCTTCGCGGAACAGGGAACTGATCAATGTGAAGCGAAATTCTCCCATTTAAAACATTGTTTTGCGATCGCAAAAACGTCGACGTAATCCGGATTCGTCGTAGAGCGGGGTAATCGTCCAGCGTGGCACGACTGTATCAAGAAGTGAAAATGTATGCTTCTTAATATGATAGCATGCCATAAATATTGCATGGCAATATATTATAACATGATATATCTTATGATAGCATGGAAATATTTGAGATTAAGGAGAATAGTTAAACTATATTAATATTTAAATTCTAAGCAATATATTTATTACGTTGAGTAGTCACATCTTGAAAGTTACTAAAAACCAGTACATTCACCAAAGCACTCAGAAGTAGTTACAGCTGCATTTTTCTAAAGTGTTTATCTAATTTACTGTTTTTTAAAAGTAAATTAGTTGATTTTTTAAAAAGCCATCTGAATACAGTAGCAGTGGCATAGCTCAAAACCAGCTCTTGAATAATGCAGTATTCCTTTTCTACCACATAGCAAGACCATACCCCTGTAATCGTGTAAGCAAATCATTCATTCATTTACAATCCTGATAGAATGTGTGTTCATCGCTTTTATTGGAAAGTGGAGTTAACTATGAGAAACTTGTAATTTATAACTAGTTTTGCCAGGTTCTTAGTAGAGTACACATGTTCAGCTAAGAAGCCATGCACAAACAGTTCAATATTCTGAACAACAACAAAATCAGAATTGGACAAAGGAGATTATACAGCTTAGAAATGTGTTCATTTTGCATCCAGATACCTGATTCATAGATACTTCCTTGGAATCAGAAATCTGATTTCTTATGGAATGGGGAAAAGTTGAATGGATATCTTGGTGGAGTGTAGGTAAAAGTGTTCCTGGAAAGTTGCAGAATCAGTTGCTTGAACTCTGATGGTTTTTGCAAATACTCAATCTCTGATTTCAAATATCCCTGCAGCCATGGGGCCTTGAATCTTTTTATCAATGAGAAATTGGGGAAGTATCATATTTGCATGCATGTGGCATGCATATGATGAATTGAGCAATATTAACATCTCCATCCATGCTTAAATAATAATCTGTAAGAGGTGTGGATTAGGAAGGCCATATTTTTATACACTCCTTTTTTACAATCCTATCAGACTCCTTAGGAATAGGAGCACACCTCTATAATTAACTATATGCAACACCTTTCTCCCAAAATGAGAAGGCTAACAGTAATATGTATTTGCGAAGGCGAATAGTTGTGTGTTTGCTCTTGGCATAGCTCATGCCTCGCTAGACAGTTACCCCGCATGACAGTTTTTTCGCTAGACATTGACTTTTTGCGATCGCTATAGCGATTTGACAGTGTTTGGTCCCTGCTTCGCAAACCGATTTTCGCTAGACGACTATTTTGACAGCTCCCTCCGAGCTCACAAAATGGGTGTTTTCAGGACCTAAGCTTCACAAGACAGCTATTTAAATAGCTGATCAGCGGTTCGCGAAGCGGCTTTCCTATGGCCGATCTTCGCTAGATAACGACACTTCTTCCCCATTGGAACGTATTAAACAGGTTTTCAGTGGAACGGATTATCATCGTCTAGCGAGGTACCACTGTACCTGGTTTTTCTCATAGGATCCCAGCCAGATAAAGCAATTAAACATTTGAAAGCAATTAAAAAGAGAGCAACAAAAATAAATAGGTTATTGCTACCTAGGCAGGTAAAGCCCAGTATACATGCCAAAAATGTGTGTTAAAACATGGCTCTGAGAGAAAACATGTTGACAGAAGAACAGGAAAAGCAGATGAAACCAACCTTACAGTACCTGAGCAAGAGAGTTCAGTAGCCTGGGAACTGCCACAGAAAAGCTGCCTCTTGTTATCCCCACAAAATGTTCCTCTGACGATGGTGGGATAAAGGAGGAAAAAAAGTGTCCAATGCTTCTTGGAAACTGTTGGGAGCACTCAGCCTCTTAATAGGAACCCCACCCATTAGAGAGCAACCATTTGTCTAAATCTCAACAGAAGTCTTTTTTTTAAATCATGACCAGGGATAGTTTGTAGAATCCCTCTTATCTTCCTATTCAGAGTAATTAATAAAAATTGGAGAAAATGTTCTCCGATTGTAATTCCACTATTTATAAAATTTCAGACCATAGTGAAGTAGCTGTATTGCCTGTAAGGTGCCATAAAGTTCTATCTCTGTTAGGTATGGCACACAATTATTCTTGAAATAAAGGACAAGGAGGACCGTCTCATGTTTGTCTTCGGTCACTAAATATCAGTCTATTCCCAGCACAGGTATGAACTCTGTGAATCTCTTTTGTTCGGGAAATTAACCTGGTAAATGCGTGTGAGATCCCCACAGTGTCTGTACACAGTCAGTAAGAACACCAGAGTGACTCCCTGACAAACCTTGGTATCAGGTAGATAGGAGATGGAAATATGCTGTATTCTCTCCAGTCATCCGTGTGAGCTTTGGAGAAGCAGGGATCTGGAAGGAAGCTTCCCTTCCTTAGCTTATCTGGAACCTTCGGAGTGGGCGGGGAAGACACTGCATGGTTGTGTAAAGCTATTGTGATAACTGCTGTCACTTCTTGGGATTGACATTGCTTATGGAAAGACAAGACCCGGTAGTTCTGCTTCATGGGTAAAGCCTGCCATCTTGTCCTCTGGATTGAAAGATCGATAAAGTGTTTGTGAAGTGAAGGAGGGTATTTAAATCATTTTATTAAAGGTTTCAGAGGAAAGACAGATTGAGGGATATTTGAAATATGCTTGAAATGTAGGCTGTCCTGGCTTAGTATTCTTTTCATTCTAAAGAAATGACTCCCTTTTCCTGATGTGCAGCTGAGGCAGTTAGGTGGAGACTGCTTCCATACGAAGCCCGGTGTAGTTCTGTGAACCTCAGGGCTTAGCTTCCCGTCTTCATGCCTCAAAGTGGTTCCATATGGGGACGTCTGCATTTAAACAGAAGGCTGTTGCACAAGATGGCCATTTTTGTGACTCAATAATAAAAATACAGAGAATGGAACAAAGTTGAACGTCAGCGTGAGTGTCATGCCAGTTGGAGTCTAACACAAAGATTTTCTCACAGGGATGTGTAGCTTCTATGTACAGTGGTGCCTCGTTTAACAATGATAATCCGTTCCAGCGAAAACATTGTAAAGCAAAAAACAAAAACAAAAACCATTGAAACGCATTGAAACCCATTGAGTGCGTTCCAGTTGGGTAAAAACTCACAGTCCAGCAAAGATCCTCCATACGGCGGCCATTTTCGCTGCCTGTATAGCGAGGAATCAGTCCCTAAACACAGCGGGGAGCCATTTTAATTACCCGTTGGCCATTTTGAAACCGCCGATCAGCTGTTCTGAAACGTTTTGCGAAGAATCGGTTCCCGAAGCAGGGAACTGATCATCGCAAAGTGAAATTCCCCCATTTAGACCATTGTTTTGCGATCGCAATTACGATTGCAAAAAGATCGTCGTTAAGCAGATTCGTCATAATGCGGGGCAATCGTAAAGCGAGGCACCACTGTATTGATCCATATCACTTCCAACTGTCAGGTTGGGCAGTAGTCCTGTTACTTCTCTGGTTGTTTTTCCCACAGTTGTTGCATTTTCTCCAGCAGCACCTTGAAAGAAACTTTATACAGTGGTGCTTCATTTAACGGGCACCTGTTTAACGACATTGCATTGCAATGTTTTAAATGGGGAAAAATCACTTGTGATGATTGGTACCCTGTTTCGTTTACCAATTATCGCAAAGCGATGATTTTCTAACAGCTGATCGGTGGTTCCAAAATGGCCATCGGGTAAAAAAAATGGCCGCCTGCTGTGTTTTTGTGTGGATTCCTCGCTTACCGGGCAGTGAAAATGGCCGCCATATGGAGGATTTTCGCTTTAAGGTGAGCTTTAAGCCCATAGGAATGCATTAAAGTGGGCTGTTGGTCCAGATAGGCGGAATATAAATCAAATAAATAAATAAATAAATAAATAAATAAATAAATAAATAAATAAATAAATAAATAAATGGGTTCTAATGCATTCCTATGGACTTTTTAAATCGCATAGCAACGAAATCGCTTTGCAGCAATTTTTGCTGCACCGATTAACGTTGCTATGCGAGGCACCACTGTTTTTTGGGGCCTGACGCTGTTCTTCTCTTGTACCGGTCTGAAGTGTGTTTAGCTGCTCGATTTTGACTGTTGTTGACAGGAAGGCTAGATAGCTTTGTGGGAAGCTGGTACTGTACTTTGTACTGTAAATCTTTGCGTAATATTGTGGCCCTGTCTTCACGCTTGGGCTCTGCCTAGCCTTGTGAAGCAGCCAGCTACAGCCAGCCTCCCTTGAGTGAATGGTGCTAGCATTTGAAGCCTAA